CCTTTGTCTCTTCAGAATATCAGCTTCTAATAATAACAGGTCATGTGCGTATCTAGACTCAGATGCTATTTCACCCAGGTGGTAAAACTACTGTAGATTTTGCTAACTGTAAGGTTTTATAACAATTCTCATTCAGAATAAAAAGTGGCATGACTTTTTGCTTTTGAGAACAACCAACTCCTTCTGGGTTAGCAAGCTCTGAACAATCCTGAGACACAATCAAAAAGACTATAGAAGAAGACTGGAGAGTTTTAAGGAGAAAAACTGTATAAGGGATTCAAGCTTCACTACTGGGAGTGCCAGTGAATCTGGATTTCAGAGTTAATGAGACAGTATTGGAGGGGTGTTTAAAGATGCATGTTCTATGTTCTCTCCCTTAAATTAAGAGTGTCTCAATGGTCAAAATGGCAAAATGCAACAAATGCATTTATATCATTCAACTTGTAAAATGTGGAGGGGGTTTCAGGGTGCTGGGTAGGAGAAAACTATACTGCTACTGACCGGTGTTTTTTGAGAAAATTCTTATGAATGATACTTTGAAAATTCTCTACCACTTGACAACTGTGTAAACCTTGTTACGAAACCCAAGCCTCACTACCCTTAACTGTAAAATGGACCATATGTTAATTTTGTATTACTGGTGAAACAAATTACTATAAATGTATCAGCTTAAAACATAAATGTATGATCTTACAGCTCTAAAAGTCAGAAGTCTGAAACAAATCTCACTATGCTGAAATCAAGTTGTCAGCAGGGCTGCATTTCTGCTGGAAGCTCCAGGAGAGACTATTTCTTTGCCTTGTCCTGCCTGTAGAGGCTGCCCTAATTCTGTGGCCCATGTCCCCCTTCCATCTTCAAAGTCAAAATGGCTAGTTGAGCCTTTTTCACCCTGAATCTCACTGACTGTAAGTCATGTGCCTCTCTCTCCCCTTTATAAAGGACCCTTTGATTACAGTGGGCCCACTGCAAAATCCAGAATCTTCTCCTGTTTCAAGGTCAGTTGATGAGCAGCCATCCACAACCTTAGTTTCTCTAGCCATGTAGCATAGTTTATTCATAGGTTCTGAGGATTAAGATATGCATATCATTGGGGACCATTATTTTGCTTACTACAGACCTCATAAGTATCTTGTGAGAAATAAATGAAACAATAAAACATGAATAATGCTTACACACTGCCTATAAAAAGCCCTCAAATATTCACATACAAAATTTATAGATAGGGAAGACACTAAAGATAACCTAACTAACCTCACCCAAAACAAGCAAGGATATATATAATGGCTGGATTTTTTTCCAGGTTAATGAGAAATAATTGACATATATCACTGTATAAGTTTAAGGTGTACAGCATATTGTTTGATTTACATATACTGTGAAATGATTATAATAGGTATGGCTAACATCCATTATCTCATATAGATATAAAAAGAAAATTTAAAAAATCATCCTTGTGATGAGAACTCTTATGATCTACTCTTTTAACAACTTCTCTATCATACAGCAGTGTTAACTATAGCCATCATATTATACATCGTATCCTTAGTGCGTATTTATCTTACCACCAGAAGTTTGTACCTTTTGATGACGCTTCTCCAATTTCTCCTACTCCCACTCCACCCCCCACCTCTGGTAACCACAAATCTGATCTCTTTTTTTAAGATTCTACATGTAAGTGAGATCATAAAATAATTGTCTTTGTCTCACTTATTTCATTCAGCATAATGCCTTCAGGGTCCATCCATTTGTTGCAAATGGATTTCCTTTTTTTTTTTTTTATGGCTGAATGATATTCAATTGTGTATACATACCACAACTTCTTTATCCATTCATGCATCAATGAACACTTAGGTGTTTCCATGCATTACCTATTATAAACAACGTTTCTATGAACATAAGGATGCAACTTTTTGAGTTAATGTTTTCATTACCTTTGGAAATTCCAAAAGTGAAATTGCTGGATCATATGGTAGTTCTATACTCCATACTGTTTTCCATAGTAGCTATACCAATTTACAATCCCACCAAGAGTGCACAGGGGTTCCCTTTTCTCCACATCTATACCAGCATTTGTTATCTCTTGTCTTTTTGATAATGACCATTCTAAAATGTGATATTGAAGTTTTAATTTGCATTTCCCTTATGACTAGGGATTATGAGCATCTTTCCAAGTATCTGTTAGCCTTTTGTATATTTTCTATAAAGAAATGTCTAATTAGATTCTTTGTCCATTTGGGGGCATTTTTGAATTTTTGAATTAGTTTTTTGAATTATTTTGAATTATTTTTTTTTTGCTACTCAGTTGTAGGAGTTCTTTATATATTTTAAATATTAATCCCTTATCAGATATATAGTTTGCAAATATCTTTTACCATTGTGTAGGTTGTCTTTTCACTTTGTTGGTGGTTTCTTCTGCAATGTAGAACCTGTTTAATTTGACATAGTCTCACTTTTTAAAATTTTATTTTATTGCTTGTGTTTAGGGGTCATTACCAAGACCCATGGCAAAGAGTTCTTCTATGTTTTCTTCTAGGAGCTTTATGGTTTCAGGTCTTATATTTCAGTCTTTAATACATTTTGAGTTAATATTTGTGAATGTTAGATAGTGGCCAAGTTTTATTCTGAATATCCAGTTTTCCCAGCATGATTTACTAAAGAGACTGTCTTCTCAATTGGGTATTCTTGGCTGCATTGTCAAATTCTAGTTGACTGCTTGTGCTTAGGTTTACTTCTGAACTCTCAATTCTGTTCCATTGGTCTATTTGTTTTTATACCGGCACTAACTGTCTTAATGACTATAGCCTTGTAGTATAATTTAAAATCAGGAAGTGTGATGCCTCCTGCTTTGTTCTTCTCTCTCAAAATTTTTTTTGTTTGGAGTCTTTTAGGAATGCTTTTAGGAATGTTTTTTCTATTTCTGTAACAAATGCCACTGGAATCTTAATAGGAATTACATCAAATCCACAGATAAATTTTGACATTTTAACAATATTAGTTTTTCCATTCCATAAACACAAGATAACTTTCCATTTGTTTATGTCTTCTTTGATTTCTTTTATCAATATCTTGTGATTTTCAGAGGTGATCTTTCGCTGCCTTGTTTAAATTTGTTCCTAAGTATTTTATTGCTTTTGATGCTATTTAAATGAGATTGATTTCTTTCTTTTTCAGAAAATTCATTGTTAATGTATAGAAATACCGATTTTTATATGTTAATTTTGTATCCTGCAACTTTACTGAATTCCTTGATTAGTTCTAACAGTTTTTTGGTTGAGTCTTTAGGGTTTTCTATATATAAAATCATGTCATCTGCAAATGGAGACAATTTTAGCTGAATTTTTTTAAGGTCCTTAACTGAACCTTCCTATTTATGCCCATTGCATTTTGAATCATTCCCATTTATATCTTCTTTATAATTCAGATTCAGTCATATTATCGATTGAAAGCATCCTCACATGTGCTTTCATGAGATCATTGTTTCAGCAGAGACAGAGTTTGCTAAGGGAAATTGTCAATTTGCTAGAGTTAGCACAAAGACACAGTTACTAAGCAAGCAGGACACGTCTCCAAAGAGAAGTCACAGACATAGAACATCAAGTAAGAACCTCTAAACGCAAAACTGGGAACTCCACTGTTTTCCGTTATACTCTATTCTGTTCTGAGATGTCAATTGCTGCTGATTTTTAATCTTTTTATCACTTCATACAAGTTAAGTGTCCTTGGGAGACACTAGAGAGGGTGGCACATATTTCATCCCATTGATGATAAATGAATTTGATCTTTTAACTCCCAGCTACTATGCTTCCTAGACTAATATAGAAATTGTCTTAGGATGACTTTTTTTCTTTTGCACAAATAAAACCTGTCCAGTAGAAGCTGCGGGTTTTGGCAAAATCACATTTAATATTTATTTCAATTCACCTAGAAATACAAAACTTTGACTACATTCAAGAATTTTTTCACAGTAATAATAAAAACATAAAAGTAGCATATATAAGAATTGGTTTGATTTAACATAAGGACTTTGTCTAAAACCGTTCAAGACATAAGTATACCCCTTCAAAAACGTGTCAACTGCTCCCTCTGGCACCATTTCCCCTGGGAACTATGATCATTAATTTAAAAAAAAAATGATTTGAAAGAGTTAACGATCACAGGAAGATAAAAGAATAGACAGGTTAGCTTTTCCAAATCATACAACAAATTACCCAATAAATATTTAAAACACAAAGTAAATGTTTTATGGAAGTTGAAAAAAATCAAGATTATTATCTTTGTTACTCAGAAGATTTTTTTAAAGTCTCAAATATCACTGGACTCTTCCATATTATTAGAATATTGGTGATCAAATAATAGATCTGTAAATTTGACAGTTATGACAAGAAGTCTTGAGAAAAATATTCCAGGTATAGACTGACTATATAAAAGTATGAAAATACTGTCAATTGTATAAACTTCAAAATATTTAACTCTGTAATTCCTATTATAAATCAAATACTACAAAATAAAAATAAAATGGAATAGGAATAAATTTCAGAGGAAGAGTAACAGGCATTATCTCCCCCTTTTTTGTCCTTGAAAATTTTAATGAGAATTCTCCTAGTGTAAATTAAGTATTAATTAGCTCACAAAGGGCAGGGCAGTAAGACTGATTGGGTAGGCACTAGAAGACCTCCCAGAAACAAGGGGTTTGATCAATCCTGAGCCATAGGATCTTTATAAGCCTTTGTTTCCTTTTCTCTTTAAAAGTATTTCTTACTTGAAGTTCTGAAAGTTCATAAAGATCCTCACTTTACAAAGTAAAATATTTGAAATCTAGAGAATTGAAACAACATCAGGAGGACAAAGCAGGATTTGCCCATCTATGTTTTTTCCATCTCACTACTCTATCAAAAGGATCCCCCCTCCTCTCTCTACCAATTCACAAGGGTCCTGTTTCTTACATCTGGGGTAAATACCACTAAAAACAATGACAAACCCTTGACAAATTCCTCACTCACTTGGTAAACTGCGAAGCTGGGGAGGAGGTACATTGTTTACAGCTATCATGTGAGACAAAATAGCTGCTGGGTGGGAAGACAAAGGCATCTTGATGGCTCAAAGGCAGCTGATCAAAGGCTACTTGAGAGGCAAATGAATGATCCCTCTTTGCCTTAAGGCATCATAAAGCAGAACCCTCAGGGTACTCCTTGATAGGCTGAGTACTACGGAATCTTCATATTCACAGTTCTTGTAGAGTGCACAGCATTTCCAAGAGTTAATATAGACCAGGAAAAGCTATATCTTAGTCCTATTCCAGTGGAATTTATGAAGGGGGTTTTATTACCTATAGAGAGTATTAAGAATGAAGAAGGAAATTCCACAGAGCAGATACAGCAAATTCAATAGCCCACAAGTCCAGATAAAATGAAAGAAGATTTCATTTCTTAAGTCATCTGTAGTCCAGAGCCTTTTTTTTTTTCTGCCTTCTAAATGTTTACATGAGGTATTAGAGACCTGATTTGTAGCAGCACCAACAGGGTATTTATACTGCTCTCCATTACTACATACATAGGGTAAAATACCTCTTCTAATTATGTATCAATAAACTCACCCCTGCTTATATGTAACCATATTCTACTGGAGTATGGTATATGTTTTGGTTATTTTCTGCTGCTTCACAGTACTTAAGGCTCAGTACAATGACTAGGGTTTAGAGTCTTAATTAATGTATCTTTTCATTCTATGTTATCTCGAAGCCTTTAAAAATATTTTCCTGGTGTCATAACTATAATAAGCAATACACGAAAGGACTGCAACTGACTGCTAGAATGGTAACCATTTATTGATCAATTTCATCTAGAAAACAATAACCAGAATTGAAAGCTTTAGTTGTACTACAAAAGTAACATTTATCTTGCAACAGTTCCTATTAAATTGTATCTGCTCTAAATAAATAAATAAATACTATCTGCATAATAAACTTACTTCCCCATAATTTTTCAATTGAATATATTTTCCTGTCCCCAGTTTTATAAACTCCGGATTCACTGGAGACTCAAATCTGTAGTCTTATCATTGCTTTTCATTTTGTGTTTCCTTTATATTAATCATCCTATCACAGAATGGTACCTTACCATCCCTACTGTACCCCCTTGATAATTCCTACAACCTTCATTTGATGGACTATCCCAGATCTATTCTCTTCCCAGTCTCACATTTAAAACTCAAAGAACCAAGAACTTCTTTATAAAAGTTAATCACAAAGTCCTTTTGTATATTTCATGGATTTTGAATAGATGGGAATCTATTAGATTATTTTTTTTCCTCTGACAAGTAGTTTTGATCAAACAAATCAAAGAAAGGAAGTTTTCAAAGGCCCTAACTTTATAATGATCAATTTCCTCTGATCCCAATTTCATCAGTTCTTATTTTTATTTATCTATTTTCTAAGTTTTTTTAATTTCTTTTCTAAATGTTCACCTTTTCTTTTTTCTTCTGTATTTCCTATATTAAAAAACACATACAATGAAACCTACATATCATAGTAATTTCACATCAAACTCAACCTTGCTTGAAAACTCTTTAAAACAAAAGAAAATGTGAAAAGTTGATAGTGCAAGGAAGTAAGAACATTAAGGTGGATACAGAAAAACAGTTTTAAAAATCTCAATTAATTTTATCTGTTTATATAATCTTCATGATTTTGTATATTTGCTAGTATCTGCCCATATATGTCCAGAAAGAATCCATCAAATCACAAATGCAGCTCTTCCAAATGTTTTCCATTACTCCTTCCAATGTATTCTGAGTCCTTTTAAGATTCATTCTAGGAACAATAATATGATCACATAATCACATGATTTGTATTTGATGGAAAGGTGTATTAAGTTGTTTGTCAATGTCTGGGAATTCTTCATAAATCTGATCACTTCTCAAACACTTATTTGTAAAATTATCTTGGTCAAGTCACTTAATTTGCCTTAGCTTCAATATCCTCATCTATACATATAACACAATCATATATATAATGATACTTAGATTAGTGCAAACTTTACAATACATGCAGTCTACATATATAATAATGCATCACACAAATATTATTAAAATGATATTAAAAGTGAATCTAAAGATCCTAGCACAGCTTCTAAATATAGTAAGTATTCAATTATAATTTTGATTAGTAATAATAATAGTAATTTTTCTGAGGTAAACTTGAGAAATTCACATGGATTAAATACTTTTTATATACTTTAAATACTTTTTCTTTTCCCTTTTTTAAAAAATATTTTGTTTATTTATTTGACAGAGATCACAAGTAGGCAGAGAGGCAGGCAGAAAGAGAGGGGGAAGCAGGCTCCCCACTGAGCAGAGAGCCCGATACGGGACTCAATCCCAGAACCCCGAGACCATGACCTGAGCCAAAGGCAGAGGCTCAACCCACTGAGCAACCCAGGTGCCCCTAAATATTTTTTCTTAATGATACTTTTCATATGGGTTCCACTCACTCCTTCTACATAGTCAGCAGTAGTATATCACAATTTACTGTCCAAGATATACCTTAGGTATTGATTCTGTATCACGAAAAACAGTAATAATAATAACCAAATTTACCATGATAATTTTGGATACATAACTAACATTTCCAAATAAATTAGTTCCAAAAATCAATGCTTCAATTAAAATTAAAACAATTGTTTTAATTCACATATTTATATTTAAAAATATAATCATCAATTGTAATTGTTATGCCAGAGTTTTCACATCGGAGAGACCACCAAGGAGCAAGCACGGATGCAATCACACGAGGGTTTATTTAACAAGCTTAAGCTTGGGCCCAAGTATACCTGATGCAGTGGGGAAGGGACTTGGACCCCGAGCTTAGTTAAGGCAGGGGTATTTATGGGTCGTTATAAGAGGCTGTGGGGGGGAGGAGAGAAAATTTACTAAAGCAGGGTGGGGGTCTCTGGAACCAAAACAGGGTGGGGCTTCCTGGAACTAAAGTAAAGTAAGGGAAAGTTCAGCCCTTGGGCACAGGGGTCTGAGATGGCTGTACTTATGCTAAGACTAAACCTGAGGTGGGATGGCCTTAATTTTTCTCGGCCTCCACAGTAATAGCATTGTATGATAACAGATGGTAGCTACACTTATGGTGAACATATAGAGATGTTGAATCACTACATTGTATACCTAAAACTAATGTAACATTGTGTGTTATGTTACATTACTATACTCCAACAAAATGTTTTTATTAATTAATTAAAAATATGTAATTATCAAAACATTTATATAAATTAAAACTGATTAGATCAAAACTCATTTATATAAAATAGAGTGTTACATATTACATCATTGGCCACTCTTCTTTGAAAGGACAGTCCATAAATTACATGTTCCTAAAATGACTCCAAATCAAAGTAAATTATATATGTATTACATACATATTCACATAAATAGTTAAAAATAATATCCAAATTGGGGCACTTGGGTGTCTCAGTCAGTCAAGCATCTATCTCTTGATTTCGCTCAGGTCGTGATCTCAGGATCGAGAGATCAAACTTCACACCTGCTCTACTCTGAAGATGGAACATGCTTAAGATTCTTTCTCCCTCTGCCCCTCCTCCCCACCTGCCCTCCCCATGCCCCACCCACTTGCATGCATTCTCTCTTTTAAAAAAAAGATAATAATAATATACAAATTAACCAAAATATAATCTATATGTAATATAGATTATATATAATATAATAATATGTGTTATATATAATAATAATATCCAAATTAACCAAAATGTACATAATTTATATATAATTTTATATAAACAAAAGTTTGTTTATAAAATAATGAATAAAGCACAATATTTATTTATTTATTTATTTATATATACATATATGGAAGTGAAATTTAGATGGTAATTTGGATTTTTTGGGTTTTTTTTTTAATATATTAACATTTAATGTTGATTTGTTTCAGGAGTACAGGTCTGTGATTCACCAGTCTTACACAATTCATAGCACTCACCATAGCACATACCCTTCCCAAAGTCCATCACCCAGCCATCCCATCCCTCCCACCCACCTCCGCTCCAGTAACCCTCAGTAACCCTGAGATTAAGAGTTTTTTATGGTTTGTCTCCCTCCCCAGTCCCATCTTGTTTCATTTTTCCCTCCCTTCCCCAATGATCTTCGGTCTTGTTTCTCAAATTCCTCATATCCGTGAGATCATATGATATTTGATATATTTGATATACTCTTTCTCTGACTGACTTATTTCGCTTAGCATAATATCCTTTAGTTCCATCCACATCATAACAAATGGCAAGATTTCATTTTTGATGGCTGCATAATATTCCATTGGATACATATACCACATTAGGTGGTAATTTGTACTGCTTAGTTACATGTACGTCAAAGTTGGTAATAGAAAATGAACAATGCAAAAATACTGTCTTATCTTCTGACTTAAACAAATTTTTTTGTTTCATTTATTCTAAATTGCTCTGAAGTATAAATTTTATGTCCTCCCAAATGGTTTTATTGTGAGATTAATTTATGAACAATTAAACTCCAATTTATCAATATGTTATTAAAAAAAATCAATTTTCCAGATCCAACAGACAATGATATATTGGTATACATACATTTGATTATCCGTAATATATAAATAATATACTACCTATTAAAAAAAATCTTCCTGTTTTTGATTCATATAAGTCTTTTACCATATGTGGCCTAAGCAATAGTATATTCATATACAAATATTCATGGCACTTGCCATAGATTCTTTTAAATACATATTGAATTTAAATCACACACACAACAAAAGATTTTCCATTTGAATGAGTTATTTATCTACCTGAAGAAGGGGACCAAGTTTCTCAACAGATGTAGCTACACACATTTGTATAATTTGTTTCTCTAGAGTTAAGATAGTTTCTCCAGAACAGCACTACTCACTACACTTTTTAACTAAGACCTATTTTCAATGTTTCTTTCCAGTATAATGTATTTGTAACTTTATTCATTAGAAAAAATATGTCAAATTAGGATAAAGTTGCATAATTTAATAGATCTCAGAAGATTTACCAAAACAATTCCCCCGTTGATCTAAAGATTCCCAAGTATAACATATGCTATATTCAAATA